ACACATTTTTCATATTTTCAAGCTTAACAATCGCTTCTTTGATTTGAACAACGATGCTTCTGTGGAATGTTCACGAGCAAAAACTAGCTATGGTGATTTGAAACTTTTCGCGTTCCTCATTTCTACATCTTTAGATCACATATCATATTCACCACTGTCAAGCATAGCATTTGTGTAAAACTTTCAAAACTTGAAGAATTCACTTCATTCTACAAATTCTAAAAGACAGAATTTCATAAAAAGAAGAGAGTGGATTTTCTAAAACGTATGATGTTTTAAATCGACAAGGTTTACAGCATTTAGTTAGCAAGCCATCACCATTTTACATAATTAAGAGACTTTTTTACTTATTAAGAAATAGAACAGTTCAATTTGCACAAAAGTCAGCTCTGTGTCATTCAGGGCCCGGCACAGACGGTCTGAGGTCAAATTGAACTTCGTTTCAGAGGTTAGAAGCAACGCGAATATCTTCATAAGTTCCTGCGAGAAGCGTCGAAAAAAGCGACAAACGTGTCAGGTTTCAAGTTCGTGTTGTTTCGCAAGCGCGCGAATTTCAAACGCAAGGCTCAAACAAATGGCTTGTTCACAGCGCACAAACAATTACATGATACCGAATTTGGGCTATAGGCTGTATCAGCCGGCATCGGTCCCGCGCCAGCAGGCCTTGCGACGACGCACCGTCGCATGCGGCGTGCCATAACGCGTGGCAGAGCTCGCGCGCGTCAGATCGCATCGTCGCAAGTCGCCGCAGGGGCGACGTCGCATGACCGATGCTGGTTGGTACAGCCTATATGTGTATACAATAATTTTCCATACAATTTTATGTAAAATGATTCAAAAACTTATGTGTCGTAAGACCCGTTCCCAAATTTGTTAGTTTCTAGACCAACACCGAACCAACTGGGTCGGTTCGGAACACAAATATCGGAGAGTTCACATAAGTTTTGGACCTTTTTGATTTGGATGATTGGAACGCTTAGCAATCTATCATTTAGCGAAGAGAAATCAAACCTTGCCCCTTCTTTTTTTGAACCAAAATTATCTATACCCACGCATTGATAAATATCGCGCTCCAATCAATGTCCTTTGAACATGTGGCAAAAAATGCATCCAGGTTGTTGAAGCCACATATTCAATTGGCCTAAGAGGTTTTCAACATTCTAAACACTAAAATGGTAGCATACTCCCAAGACGGAGCCTTTAGTCAATTCAGAATTTTTTTTTGCTTTTTTGTTATACATATTACATACCTCAAAATGAGCATTTTCGCTTCTTCATTGTTATATTGATTGGATAAGGGTTTTCCTACTGACTTTTACGTCAAGTGTGACTTCGTAAATTTTTGCGAAGACGTGGGGGACTGCGATTCTAGAAATGCTCCAAACCAACACGTGCCGGCCCTGATGCCACTTCTCGGGGGCGTTTTTGGACCATGTTATTTCACAAAAAAGTTCCAGTCGCCTTACTTACCCTCCTCCCACGCAACTGACACTATCTTGCCACAAAAAATTTCTGTCGTTCCGTCCCCTCCCCCTTCGCCCCGAAATGAATTTCTTTTTCAAATTTGTTAACCTCTTATGTTTTTGGACCTATATGTCCACCCATTTTTCTTGCATATGCCAGCACATACAATCAAATCATCCTGGTTCGTTGAACAACAGCAATATCTCTCGTCTTGTAATCTATATTTCTGTTAAATGTGAACTTCTTTCCAAAATTTATACATTTCTATTCTGAGTGAACTTGCAAACAGCGTTCATCCAAATCTTCCAAACAAAAAGATATCATTCGTCAATTGCTTAGCTAATGTTTTACTGTGACTGCCCAAGTATCCAGTGTTTCAAAGCATCAAATCCGTTTTTTTATTTCGAAGATTTTTGTGCATAGGTAGATAATCTGATATCGTTAGCTTATTTGCTGCGGGGTAGGTAATAGGGTGCGCCAAAATTACCGCATCGTGTTCTCTTGGGAAGGAGACTAGAACGGCTTGAGAACGGATCAAGTATGCGTCTGTTTTCATCAGCCATCATTATCGTAGTGCAAGAGTCAAATCAATATTCGGCTGCTTTATTGTTCAAAAAAAAATTTCAATTCCTCTCGTCAGTTAGAGCGTACTATGTAGGCAAGCACGACTTTGAGAATCCATATATGATTTTTTGACAATCTTTTTTCTTGCATTGTATTTGCGCATGAAGGTAGAGCAAGCCTTCTCCTTTCATACTGCTAAGTATAAAAATTTTAAAAATAATTTGAAGATTGAAAAATAATTTTTTAAACATGGGAGTAATTTTAGCGTTCCTGAGTGCGCCTTAGGATAAAAAAATGTCTTCCAGATCAGATTCAAAACCATAATAGCTAATTTTATATAAAAAGCTGAATGTCTGTTTGTCTGTATGTATGTTTGTCTGTTTGTCTGTCTGTACGTACTTATTTTCCGAATAGAAAATTCCATTTCTGAACCGATCGGGACCAAACTTACTAGCTGGCTTACCCGGCTCCGCCGTATCCGGACCAAACTTTGCACACATACACTTCGCGGCCGGGCGGGTGTCATAGGCCACTTTTTATCATCGATCGATAGCAATTTTAATGATTTTTATCGTTTCGCGGAGTTTACCTACGGGGCTGGGAGTTTGCACAGGGGGTAATCGAGCATGCTGATTACGAATACAATTTCAGTTTTCGAAATCGTTCATTACTTTAGTCGATTTTGTCGATTTTTGGCAAAGTTTGAGCTACGGGGCTGGGAGTCGGCACAGGGGAGTAATCGAGCATGCTGATTACTAAAAGAGCGGACAGTGAATTGGTATGTAGGCGTGGGCACAGGGAAAGGTTGTTCTGGGATAGGGATGAGAGTTTTATCATAGTGTTTTGACAGGGCCGGGCGGAGCCGGGTAAGCCAGCTAGTCAATCTTAATGTTTTCTGTCTGGAAGGTTTCGCATGTCTGAGACCTCATAATCGTTTTGAACCTAAGTTCACACATTGCTCGCACGCAGGTATATTTCGCAATACATTTTCGTATTTCGTGAAAAAACAAATTCCGCAGTTGCAACTAAGTCTGAGTGATAGTGCAAATTGTGTTCTACAACCTCAGTTTGGAAAAGCTTAGAAAGGCTTTGAGTTCAGTCAGTTACACAGCGAATCATGAAGGTATAAAAAATCCATTTTTGTTTTTCGTGAAAGCTGGTCTGATTTGTTTCTCACGTTCTTAAAAAAGATCTTTTGAATTATGTAAGATACAATTTGCAGAGGTTGAGTGGATTCTATGACTATTCAAATCTGAACTTGTATTTCTCAGTGGTTTCCTCGTGGCACTGTTTATAAAGTTGGCGCCGGTAATTTTGACGGAAACTGTAATTATATCGTTAGTCTTTCAATGCAGGTCTATTAGTACACCAAATTTGCTTTGCAGAAATTTTTTTCGTTATATAAAAGCTCTGTAGTAGTTCAGCATTTAACGAGGACATTATCAGCTTACCTTAGACAAAAGAATGAGCCAAGAAGCATCCATCACAAAGTCGTAAGCAATGAGGATTAGTGAGATATAGCAGTCAAGGATCCCGAGCATACACCACGAGATTCTAGCTGCCACAGCGATGGCAGGCCCTATAAATGCACGTATAACGTTTGTTGAAATAAAGATGGCTTCTGTGCATTTAGAATGCAGTTACGATGAGTTATAGACAATGGAGCATCGCCAAATAGCGTCGAACTGATAATGATAACGAAAATTTGTATGCTGTGTCGTCCCCACATAAGTAGAGTACTACAAATCTGTAGAAGTACAAACGTGGATTTTCAGCTTTTTGCAAGTTTTAGTTTTCGAGAAATTTGAATTTTAGTTTGAAGCACCTGACTAATGAAAGCTATATTTAATATTTCTCGAGAACTAAAGCTTGTAAAAAGCTGAAAATCCACGTTTGTACTTCTACAGATTTGTAGTACACACCTATTATGTGCGGACGACACAGCATCACTTTGGCCAAGGCATGAACATTTTCGTTTTTTTCGATTTCTAACAGAAGAAAAAATACGGCAACGGCGTACATACATGTCTTATGTGGATAGTGTTTACGTGAACAAGTTAAAAATTTTGTAGGATTTTCATGAACAGAGTTACGATTTTTCTCGATTTTTCGGGTAGTTGAATCTTTTTAGTTTTTGGCACAAAACTCGAGTGGATCAGAGCTTGTGCTAAAGCAAAAAGGCCATTTTGTAGAGCTCGCTTTGCTTGCACCTTGAAAGCTATTCAGGAATGAAAAGTGTATGACTTATTGCGGTTGAAATTCAAAACGACATTAATTTCCGGACAACCTAATAGATAATAGTTTGCACACCCGGCTAAGTGTGCGCTAGTGCGCCCCTAACACTACATGGCATGCCTGGAGCCTTCAGAATGACAGGTATGCCAACTGAGCCCTGTCCAACCAGACTTATCAGTAGAGAGGCTATCTGGTATATCAACAAGATCAAGACTTCTTTGTGTGTGGACCAAGTGAGCCGAAACTTTGTAGTATGATTTCGACCCCGGCGGGAAACATATTCTACTTTTGTGGCGATCCACCGCACCCTTCTACTAAATTATTTATTTGTTTAGGTATTTTTAAGGAAACGAAAGCTTATTGGTCATTATTGGATCATTTTCCCATAGTAATGTAAATGAGTGCAGTAAGCTCATTTCAATCTCACGATTATAAAAGATGCGGTATTCGAAGTGGAGTTGTTCCGAAATAAAGCTTATAGAAGGGGGGGGGGGGACTCTCACAGTGCAGTAGGCTATGTTGACGACCAATGCAGTGTCTACTTGACCCCGTTGAACAGTGGCCACGGCACAGGCCGGACAGTAATCACGCTTGTATTATAATTTATAAAAATTTATAAAAATATAATAAATTTTTATTTACAGTATGTTACTCTTACTCTTCCATATTCCATTCAACGCCTCCTTCTAAACTACTCAGCATACAGTATTTTCAGTGCTTCTGTGCAAACCATCATCTAGTAAAGAAGTTTTATCGTCAAATTCAATCACCAGATAAGTCTATAAAATTGGCACATGTCAATCTAGAAAATCAACAGACAAACCAAACTGAGAATGAGGAGGATGAGAAATGAAAGTGTATAGCAATGACGGATCAACGCTTGTAAGAAATGGTAAAATCAACAGAAGTTCTGAGTTTTTAGTGACATGAACTCATCATAAATCATATAGAAATCTCACCAACGGTGTGTGGCGTGAATATATTCAAATGAATAGATAAATAGTGAAAAATAAATAGATAGGCCGGTTTCCGAGCAATATTGAGCTAGAAATTGCTGGATCCCGTAACGAATTTCCCAAAATCGAATCAATTAAGGACGAATATGAGCACATCACTATTCAGTTAGATTGTAGACACCAATTCGGACTTTGTTGCCTCGACTTTCACAGTCTTTGCGATAATTCCGCTAGCTTCTCCACTAGCTTCTCCACTGCCTTCGCCGCTACCTTCACCGCTGCCCTCACCGCTGGGTTCTACGACTCCTAAAAAGATTACTTGGATGTCATGACATCATGGAGGATTGAGTGGATTGCCTACCTGATCCTTCCTCTTTCACTTTCTCCTCTTTTTCACCGGAGCCTTCACCAGATCCTTCACCGGACGCATCGACTATGGCTGGAAATGAACATAGTTGCGCTGTTTACTCTTTTCTGTGAAACGTAAAGGAAAATTTTATTTTTCGGTCCCACCCCCTCCTACTTTTTTCTTTTGAAAGAACATATTCAGCTTCCAAAAGTATACATCCTGAACATACTTCTTCAGGATCCTACAGTCAATTTATCATTCGCGCCTGTCCACTTCTTCTACCTTACCACATAGGATTTTCTCATGTTACGACAAAGTACGAATGAACGTAAAAAGAGTGATGTAACCTCGTATCAGGGTAATTTCTCATATTTCTTATATCCTGATAGCAATGTTAGCATGTACTTGCTATACATCACTGAGTCTAAGAAAAATATCTTCAGAGAAGAACTTACGGACTGCTTTTTGTTCTTTTCCTTCTCCGCTGGCTTCGACTACATCTGCTCGCTTTGCTCGAATTATCAAATCCGAGTCGACAAATTGCCATGAGCACTGCAAGAATGATATTATGATAAAAACGAATAAGCGCAAAAATTTGTGGTTTCTAATTGACTACTTTCGTTCGAAATTCATACACAGGCAGCGGAAGGGAAGCATATAGTATTCAGAAAACTGAGCCCCAATGTGCGGATTCTAATTAATTACTTGATCTAATATTGAAATTCATAGCTCCGTATCATTGAATTGCTCGTGCAAGCTTTCCTCAACGTTCTTGCACTGTCTGATTAAGATTTGACTCAAAGATAAGCTATTTTACTTCGTTTATGTCTTCTGTTTGTATATCACTGTATTACCAACATCTGCGCCAACATACAAAAGAAAACCAAAATGAAAAATTTGTGTCTATTTCAGCTTTTATGCCCCGATAAGTAACAGTATGACGATGATTGAAAACATGCCTGATAAAATGAGTTACTGCGTGTTAAAAATCTTTTTTTAGATTTTACAGCCTAGTAGCTGTTGAACAGTAACAAGACTATTTGTTTTCTGAAATAGTAACTCATAACTTCTTCTTTTTTCTGTGCTATTTATTTCTTGGCAGAATTAAGTAAGAGAAGTTCGTATAGCTTATGGGTTGAAGTTAGGGAGGGATTTTAATTTTTTAAGCTATGATAGCTGTATAATCGATGGTCACTCCTATCTACATCTGCCTTTATCACATTTCCGCATTGCTTGGAAGTATAAAGCTATAGATAGACCTTTTCATTTGAATTCCTAGACAGGAGCTTTCCTCAAATAAGTCAGACATTCGGCTTTTCATAAATGCATAGCCTTAGCAAGCGCAAAGCAATGTTTTCAGTTCTTTTCAGCTAAGCTTTCTTTTTCAAATCTAATCAACTTCTGAGTATAATTTCTTACTGAAAGCAGACTAGGCTTGACTTACCTAGAGTACAAGTATCCGTTAATCAGTACAATAGGAAAGGAGACCCTATCGTTTATGTTGAAATCAAAATTTCAATCGAAGGCGTTTGGTCCCAGTATATTTGACCATACTTAGGCGAGCCCGTATTCAAACTTTAATAGTACAATTCTCATTGAACTGTCCCTCCTTGTGCAAGTTTGCACTTATAGTTTATACTGTCAGGTTTTATTCTTACATATACGATGGTCCCCCTACTGGATGATTTACATTAACGCTTGATAGTTATACAATAAAACGAGGCGCTGAAATTTGAAACCAAGAATCATTTGCACTTTTTCTTTGCAATGCGCAGAGAATTGAGCTGCAGCTTATCATGACCGAGAGAGAGAGAAAGAGAAAACTTGGATGATGGAGCAGATATCACATTTATCTAGCGTAGCGTAGACGCCTAACCAGGTCAAATCGTCGAAAGATGAGAATTCCCATAAAACATGTGCACCTCATAACTGGACACTACTGTGTTCCAGTTCTTTCCTTGTATAAAGTTCTTTATCCTTACCTGAACAATAACGGCGAAAAGAGCGATCAAAGTGAATGTCTGCATGATATCTGTAATAAATTTAAAATTAGACATTATGGCACAAAAATTCGGGTCCAAAAATCAGAAAAATCCAGTGCGAACGAGGCCAAAATACAGTAGGAAACAAAATCGGACATTATGATTGTTAGCTTTTGCTCGGTCCCAAGCTGTGCAAACGTTTGCGAGCAAGAATTTCAGAAATTTATAACAAAGCGTGGGAATGAGAAATTACAGCAGCAAGTTCTCAAGAAAAACATAAACTATTAGAACCTTTGAAGTTTTATTGCGCGAATAATAGGAAGCAATTCGAGATTCTGAACTAGTTCGCCTTCGAACTCAACATGGTTCAGTGATCAAAAGCAGAAATAGGAACTGGTAATAAATTAAATCTTATGTATTATATTTAATGGCCCAAACTTAAGGTAAAATCAATAAAAAATGTAGTTCTTGGACAGATCATAAAGCATGTGGGACATGAATTATTAGTGCTTGATATAAATACCTTCTAATGCAGGTGGAAATGAGATTTGCTGATTTTCGCGCAAATCTCTCCAGATCTTTGCCGCTTGGCCTATCTCGAAAAGCGAACAGATAGGGAGTGATGTCCGTGAAATTTATCCGATCTATCATCACTTTATTTCGCTTATGTCTCCATTATGGATATTCAGTGCAGTTATAGCCTAAGAATTGTGCCCTTTCTGATAATCTCCAGTCACTTCTATTTTTAGCAGAAAAACCAAATCCGCAATTTATAGTAACTTATTTCATTGAGTGAGCTCTCCAGCTCCTTTCCGACAGTTTCTTTACAGCTTAGGCTTTCACGATTGCTGCAATAAAGCCCTTTCTATGGTTGAAAAGGATCAAGGCAAGATGATATGCCCAAATAGTGGAGAAAGGGCTATTTAGAGAATTTTTTGGTTTGGTAGCTTGATATTGGAATGACTTCATATGAATGCCCGCTCGACTTAGAGTCTCAAAGTTTTGATCCTAATTTTGTTGAATCAGAGTTTAATTCTATTTTTGTGAGCGTTTTCACTATGCAAGTTAGTTGAAATCTGAAAGACTTGGAAGGACTGGATGTAGTTTTTACGATTATTTTCCTACAACTAGAAAATTTTGATGATTACTTGATCTACGAAGCCTGAAACAACGAATATAAGCGACGATTAGCTTTCCCAAGGCATAGGTGCGCTTTGAAGAAGCTAGAAAATTCTGGAACTTTCAAGGATCTATGAGAAAGTAAGGAAGACCAAGAGTTCTTGAATTCTCGGACTAGCCGGGTCCCCGAGAGAAGAACACAGCAGAGGAAGAGCTAATGATTCGAATGTGAGTGAACACTTTCTATAGTGAACCACGACGACCAGCTTCATTTATAAACGTTTCGCGTCTCGGCTCCGCCCATGGCGACGATGTCGGCGCGAATCTCTACCGGGACAGGTGTAGTCGTTAGTGTGTGGTTTTTTTCAACTCTCACCAAGTACAAAGATCCGTCAGCTTCTCTAGCGGGGAGGGGGGGGGGGACGATGGTGATCAATTTTTTATCCCACTTTTGCTTGGTGAAAGTTTTTTTTTCTTGGTTGACGCACCAAACTGCCAATCCGCACTCGTCATCCGGATATTTCTTTTTTCCTGCCGCAAAACTCAGTGAACCCTATGCAAATCATTCAGATATGCGATTTCCTGCAAAATCTACGAACAATCATCGCTTACATGCTGAATCACCTCGATCAGAGCACGCTTCTTCTTGCATTCAACATAGCATCCCGAAATATTCCACTCATTGTCTTTGGCAGTGGATTATCACGGAGATCATCATCACATTTCAAAGGTTTTTCAAATATTTCAATACGGGGGATGTCTCTGCAACAATATGATTCATTGAGGAAAAGTCTGTCAAGAGTGAAGCTGAAGAAATGAATACAAAGTGCAGATTGCCGGAAATAAATACGTATGCCATAATTATGGCCGTAGTTTAGTCCTTAAAATTACCTGCACCAGCTTGCGATAATTAGAAAAATTAACACCATTTGCCAATTGAGAACCTTACCGAGTCACGCTGATGTAAAGTAAAAAAAGAAAGCGCAGGACCCCGCTAAAAATAGTGAAAAGTTAATTGCAAGATTGCGGGGTTTGGTGACAAAGAAAATTGTAAGTAGTTCAGTAGCAGATGTAGAGCTGGATTACGGAAAAACAAAAAGTGATTGTATGGAATTCTGATTTGTGTAAATTCACATATATGCACATAAAGAATTTCCATGATTTACTCCCCCCCCCCCACCTCCCTTCTGCTTCATCCTTGTGCCGCTCCCCAGTTTAACTCTCCTAGAATCGTATATTATCATACTAAGCAAAATTTAATTGATCAGTGGTTTTGGAAATTGTTCTCTCCGCCTCCCCTACCCCTCCAACCTCCCACCACCACCTCTGTTCTTTTTATCAAGTGGAAAAGAAAACAAAGTTTGATAAGCGTTGCAGAACACCCTTATGCGCCCTACACTCTTTTACGAACCAGTGAGCCGTGAGCAAATTTCAGTGTAATTCCAGGAAATTGATTCTAATGCTATAAGAAAGGAGTCAGATTTTGGAAACTAGGGAGGCAGTTGACTGCCGCGAACAGAATAAATAAGTTTCCTTTGATTTCGAAAACTAGGTGGAATGACGTATATAGTCAACATTTCTAGAAATGGCGCAGGTTAGTGAGACCAATTTCCTCCTCACTCTTGCAAGGGAGCGGTTATGCTTTTCTACTCTACTGTATATCATGAGTTGTTAATCAATAGAATAAGAATCAAGAAAATGTATTAAGTCACAGTTTGAGTCAAAAGGGCTAGCTTTCGGTTGACGTAGGCAAACAATGTTCCTCTTGGCTAGGTCCGCCTACATTAGCAATTTTAGCAGATGGCTAGCAGACTTCAATAGGGTAAAACTGGTTGCTCTAGTGTAGATTTCGGTTCTTCAACTCAAACAAACTCATAGGAATGTCATCCTCTAATGGAGGCTTAATCAGACAATCGTGATTAGTTTTGCTCTTGCGACATTCTAATCTTGTCCAGGAAATGCTTTCAGATCGGAGTGCGCTGAGGCAGAACTAAAAGCTGTAGTTACGCATAGAGCTTTGAGTCATTTATTTATGTATAGCGAAAATATAGTGTACTTCCGACAAAGTTTTCGTATGGCAACGATCTTCTTCTCGAAGCCAACTATTTGCTAAGCTACGGCAAAACATAGTATAGAAAGCTACGCCCTCTAAGTTTGTAGTCAAAATGGCGACTTGCACGGGCTTTCGCTAATGATTAGAAATCATTGGAATATTCAGATAAGCGAGATTTAGTTTTGATACTTATTGGAAAATAATCGCATATGATCTTCTAGGAAAATAAGTAATAGAAAACGACAAACATATAGTGAACATAATCGAAAAATAACGTTCATCCTTATTTCCAGCTCAGTCAGATAAAAGTCCAAAACTTTTTTTTCATTTTTTGCAAGAGATGACGTTTTTCACTTTCGACTATTATCGTATCTGGAAATACCAGTAAATTGTGGTTCAATATTCTAAAAAAAGTGTTGCCATGCTCCCCTGAAAAGTTATAAAACTTTTTTGTTGTATTTGGCGAATACGATCTCTCGCAAAGCCGTATTCTCCTTCAAAATCACAAATTCAAAATTGTACAGTTCGAAATTTTCAGAATTTTTGGGTATCCAAGCTATAGAAATTTCTTCACTTTTCGTTTCTACAAAAATGCTAAGGTAGCTCCAACTCTGAAAAATCGGGTTATTCTGGAATTTTAAGATTCGCTTGACAAATGCTCTACGAAGTTTGCCAAAGAGAGAGACTATTCCTGGTATGGTTTGGAGTTCTTTTCTGCCCAACCCGCCCTCGAAATGCTGAAAAGTGAAATTCTCCAAAAAGCTATAAACTGAGTAAAATTGGGTCATCCACAGAAGTTTTCGACTGACCACAACGGCTCATAAAACCGCGTAAATCCACTCTGTTGTCTCGAAAGAAACCACCACCAAGAGTGCAGAGATTTATTGCTGAAAAGTGCATTCTGCGTAAAAATTTCGCTATCTCACAGCTTGACTAACAACGAGAGCGCGAACACGCGAATCGTAATATGCGTATGTTTTTCTATTGCAAAACCCCACGTACGTAGTATGTATGCGCGAAATGTTTCTCGTAGAGTTTTGTTTTCGTTGAACCTGACAAGAGAGAGCGAAATAAATTTTTCTCGATTTCTTTATCTTTCTATACTTTACACAGCTCCAAAGCATGTAGTGCCGCTGTGATCTTCCATGCAAATTCATCACTCATTGGATTTTTATCCTACTCGATCTCGACGTAGCGACTGGACGAGGATATCACCCGTTGTTACCGGGCCGCAGCCCCCCCCCCCCCCCTCCCGCCTAGGGGTACCGCCAGGTGGGCTTCAACCACAACTTGATTCAACATCGAGTTTTTTCCCGATGACAGTGTCGGCCAGTCGCGTCGGCTGATCTGATCACCTGTTCTCGTTGAATTAACGTACAAGCATTGTTCAGCCGATGGGTTAGCTGTGGATTAGCTACGGATTTCTGGAATCTTATCTTATCAGACTACATGCCCCTAAAAGGTTTTCTATAAAAACAGCTAAACTTCTTTTGTGCGTACAAGTTTTCCACATTCCATGACTAACCAGTGGAGGCAGACGAGGGAGTAGCAATCACAAAGCATTGAGGAAATGCTTTGAACAGCTTCTAGGGAGGCGCACATGATAAACTTAGGAAAACTTTTAGGAAAAGAAGACTCTGCTTTTAATCGAAATATCTTCAGACTTGCAGTAGTCCAAAATTCAAGAAGAACTTTGCGCCAAGCACAAAAAACAACACAAAAAATTAATTATAAAACTGCGCTTTCGAATTGTATTCACTCTTTGGTATGTATAATTGTATGATATAATAGTATAATAATATATATAATAATATAATAAGAACATATTGATGTAATAATAATAATATAATAATAATAATATATTAATAATAATATAAT